TGAAGCACCCAGTTCAGGACATAAACCACATACAAAAAAAAGGGATGCTGACCCTTTGCACAACACAATCATTTAATGACCACGCTTTCTATTGGGGTGATGACGAAAAAAAACATGGCCACAGTGCGGCTGTGAGTGAGATGTTCACCTGGGATGGCAGCAACCCGTGCGCACTCAAAAGCAAGTCTACCCCCGTCCCCCCCTGGTGGGGAATGGCCCCCAAGGAGCTCCAGATGGTTTATAACTCCTTACACGTAATGGAGAATTTTCGATGCATGCATCGAAAATTAGCATGACCCCTGTGCATAATGGAGGATTTTCAATGCATGCATACACGTAAAATTATATGCGTGTCATCCTTGCGTAGGGGTCATGCTAATGTTCTCTCTGTATCCTTCCAGTTTTAACTTTGCAGAACTACTTGGTAGTGGCTGATTTGTTGACATTCTAGAAGTAGGGGTTAGTTTTATTAATCTATTTATTTATGATTAGGATTATTATTATTATTATCAAGGGCGACAGCCTTGAGATAGCATTGTTGACCTGACCGGCCCCAGGTGAATTCAGAGTTATTGGGTCTCACTGCACTACTGTCCACTCTCCAAAAAATGGGAGTGTGTGGAGAGCTGAAAAACTTTCCCAATTTCTGATGTTTGGTTCACAGCTGCACTGACTCTCCGATCTCGGAGACTGCAATTGGTAAGTGCACTAGCAGAGAGTGCATGTCAAACACAGTCTCAGCATGAGTTGGTAACAGTTCTGGCGGACACGGCCTGATCTGCATTTTGTCCGCCCAGACTCTAGACACACTGTCCGAATTCGGAGCAACTTGGGCGGAGGTCCATCGGGAGAACCACAGTTGCAGGCTGGGCACTCTCCACCAGTGGAGAGTGCTTTTCAAAGGCAGTTTCTATCCGTAGGTTTTTCAGAGGTGAAATCGGATAGTTAGTGCAGCGATCAATGCATTGCACCCTTTGTGAGGGAGTACTTGGCCAACGAGACCACGGGTTTGGCCCCACTGACTTTGATGAAAATCGCCGAGACTCCACTTTGGTCAGGAGGCAGTTTCTATGTTCATCAAAGTGGAGAACCCGTTTCACCCTCTTGTTGACCAAGTATTCCCTCAAAACGGTGCAGTGCATCAGACCTCAATTCTGGCGCGGGTGGAAACGAAGAGCACAAATTTTCCATTTCACGGGGCATAATTTTTCAACGTCAGGGGACACCGTTTCCGTAATAGCCCCTTCTAACTCTTTTAAGCCCAACCAATTCAAGTACCTGTCAAATCTGGACAGGACAGCCTTTCAGCTCTTTTTTATTTACCCCGTAGCAACCAGCCCGAGTTCAAGCCTCCAACGAGGGAACATGCAGGGGCTGCACCCGACCTGCAGGTGGGCAATGGCCGGAAGCATCAGGCCCGAGCTTCTTGGATGGGCCAGTTGTTGTGCCTTCCCTCCGGCCCTCCGGTCCCCTCCCCTTAGGAACATCAGCAGTCACTACTCGCTCGGGGGAACCAACGGGCTATCTCTACGTGGCGGGCGCCAAGCTTGCCCAGGAAGGCCTCCTGAATGCCGCTTGCGTGCCTTACCCATTGAGGCCAAACCCTACATGAGGCCAAACCCAAGGCCTCCTGAATGCCGCTTGCGTGCCTTACCAATTGAGCTAGGCCGCTGGATAGAAGCCGACATTACAAATTGTTAATGGTTTTCTGCGGCGTCCCACAGCGCCCGCGCGGGTAGAACGTCTTGTTATCCCCGGCAACTTGCGGCAAGATGAACCGTGTCGCAGCACAGACATGAAAATGCATTCGTAAGAAAGAAAGGAAGAAAAGAAAAAGCACAACTTTCAAATTGTAAACAATTTTCCACCACGTACATCCAAGTGCATGAACAAAGTGACTCGATCGACAGAACATCCTAGAGAAATTCTCGCATCCATAAACCCACGTTTATTGTACTTCCAACAGCCAGTGCTCGGCTACAAAACTCTCAGATGCTCATTCCAAGCACTTACCGTAATACACCCGCCCGGCCTGAAATGAAGCCGGATTTCCAGCGACGTCGCTCACAAGACTGTTAACTCCCACAACAATAATCCGCGAAACATCAGTCTTCGGATCCACCTGTCATACAACCAACTACAGACCGTTAGTGAACTCTCTCTCTCTCTCTCTCTCTCTCTCTCTCTCTCTCTCTCTCTCTCTCTCTCTCTCTCTCTCTCTCTCTCTGTGTGTGTGTG